GAGTATCGCTCCAAAGCGCGTTGGAAAGCGGACTTTCTATCGATACAGAGAATATACAGTGTACACCGAATTATGCTTTCATGGTTGTGGCTTTTGATTAATTGCGGATTATTTTCTACCGCTCGTCATTTCGCGCAATAACTACGAAAGCAGGATGCAGGTACAAAGTGTCCTAGATAATTCTTTCCTGCTTTCTTTCGACCAGTTTCTTCTCATTTATTAAGCCGGAAAATTTAATGGAAGATTTAATTATATACGGACAATATCTAAGATATAGATATTATCGACAGATTGCATAATGATAATAATTTTATTTATTATATGCAAATCATGTATTTGTACGTGGAAAACTTTTAGAAAAGAAACCTCATTTCTAGAAAATAACACATTAACTATTAATTTATGAGCAGTAATTATATTCGTAATTTTAGAAGCTAATTTCTCAACTATACGAATACGTTTTGTTCGTTCAAACGATACAATGTTTCGCGTTTGCTTATTATTAAGAAAATATATTTTGATTATTACACATGTTTTAGGTAAAATAATTTTGAGAAATATACAATCTATTGTATTCTTTATTAATAAATTGCTATAATTAATGTTTACTTTTTAAAAATAAGAATGTTCTATTTAAAAAGACATTTTCCTTGAAAATACTTTTTGAGTACTGTATTACAGATCGCATTATTGTTGAAGCGAGTGTTTTTGTGCTTTTGGTTATAGCACGAAGAGATATAAGAGTTCTAGGAAATGCTTTACGAATACCTCGGTTTCTTGATCCATGAAGATATGCTATTTTTAAACAGATTTCGTTGGAGGTTGTGCGCATCAGGTATTGATTGTCGGAAATTATAATTCATTGAAATCGCGCATCGCGACCGAACAGCCGAGCTCTAAAGCGAGCCGAGCTGATTCCTGGACAATCTCCAACATGCTGTTTCTATTCGCTACACGAAAGGGACGAATGTTACCCGAAATATTAAAGTAGGCCAGAAGGCACGGATTATCGAATTGCACGACCGCGACGTTTGCTAGTGCAATCAGTCTTACACATCCTTTGCCAGTCGTCCCAAGTATCGAGAAACGTAATAATAATACTGGCGACTTCCAGGAAGTAAATTAAAGAAGAAAATATACTAAGTTAATCATAACAGCGCGAAGAATTAATTACACCGCTTTGTATCCGCAATGCAAATAGAGACAAATTTGTTTTTATATCCTATACAAAAATAAAAATAGCGGTCTTTATATAATTCTCACTGTGTTGGTGTTAATATTAACACCAATATGATGTGAATTTAACATCATGAGTTTTAAATCTACACCATCATAGTTGATATAAACACTAAACACCAGAGATTCGAAATCTACAACACATGTTGGTGGTAATGTTCACATCAATTAACACAATGAGAATTATATAGACACTGCACGAGAGTTAATCCACATTAGAGATGCTAAATCCACACTGATATTTTTTAGAGTAAAAAGGTGATCTCATTCAAGTAATAATCTTAATAATACTGTCAGTATTAACGGATAATGACAGTATTATCCAATCGTGTATGGTTAATATTGATGGATTGACGTAAAACACTGACAGTGATCTGGATTTTCATTCTCGAGCATCAGTATCACTTTATTAAGATCCATGTCACAGTGTATGTCACATTGCAATAGATAATATATGTAAAAACTACACTGTTAAATCTACAGTGTCAAATTGACATGATATAGTGTCAAATTTAATTATCGTTTTAATAAAAAATAATATTCAATATTACTGACTTCAGCATTATTGACCGTGTAGAGTCACCTTAAGAAACTCTCTGACATTTCTCCGAAATTGTATTAGTAAATAATTGTTGCATTGATAATAGTACGCAGAAAGACATATATTTACTACGTAAAATTACATTTCGTTTTTAAATATTATTGCACGGAGTAAAGAAATATTATTTTACACGAGTATGACAAGGAAACGTGTTGAAATCGCATTGCGAAATGGACGAGCTGCTTCACTGCATGCGGTAGTTACCGAGGTGCACGTTGTGAGATTGAAATGATATTACGTTCGACGAACGTGAGGTAAAATTATCGGGCCATCATTACGACACGTTCGCTGCCAGGTGCGCCATAAACGATACACATGCTTTACTTTACGTGGGCCACGTGCATCATTTACGAACTGGAAACAGATATATTCGAATGCACGTGTATTCGGAGTACATCCCGTTTCGCCGTCACTGCTCTACTGCCACTTGCGCGCAGGAATTATTAACGAACCTGAGCTTTATACGAACTTGATCGATTTTCACGAATGAATATGTCTCGATATGTACATAGTCGTTACGATGGTACGTCGGGCTAGGATAGATTGAGTTGTACGGCAACAAATTTTCTATATATATAATATAATTTTCTATATATTAGGTTAAGTAAAAAGTCATCGCGTTTTTTTAAAAGACATCTATCAGTAAAAACCGCAATTACTTTCTTACCAACAATATAAATATATCTTAATAGAGTAAAGTTTCAGCTTTAAAAATCTCTTTTTTAAATTATACGATACGACAATTTTTAATGGAGTTATGAGCAATTAAAGTCAAAATAATTCTTTTATTTAATCCGCGATAACTCGGTAATCAAAAATCGTAGGAATATTTAAAAAAAAAAAACGATTTTGTAGGGAAGGTATCAAGCTTTCACGATAGGTAATCGAAAATTTTCTCAAATTCGTTTTGGACACGTTACAAATCCACAAAGTGAGAAGAAAATTTTTCGTCTTTTTCAGCTCGTAGCTTTTGGTATGTAAAAATTATCAAACTCATATAAACTTAAAAAATGTGATAAGCTTTTAAAAGTAGAGATTTCAAGCTTTAAAACCCTTTTTTTAAATTTGAATTTCATTCATTATTGACGAAGATATTGTATATACAACTTTGAGCTAAAAAATACGCGATGACTTTTTACTCAACCTAATATATAATTCTAAATACTCCGAATATTGTATTCTACAGAAAAACAACGATATTGCTAAAGTATATCTAAAAATTTCGGTAATATAGATCTGAAAATAATTTTATATCAGACGTCTAGCTAAATTTTTCGATATTTCAGTAAAATTGTTCTTTCTGTAGATATTCCATATTCTTTTGTAACAAATATTCTAGTTTTTTTTTTCTGAAATGAGTAGTTTTGCTTTTCAGTAAATGAAATTTCCATTTCCAAGTTCCAGTCTATCGAGCGCGCTTCAAAAACTCACGCAAGAAGAACGATTTCGTTAAATCTAAAAATTCAGATGGCTGACAAATCTGAAAATAATTTTGTTGAACCATCAAAATAATTACGTAGGAAACTAAAGTGTGGTGCAACAATGCTACAAAAATTTCTAACATTCTAGCAACTAGTTTGACCGCTCCACATAATTTTTTTACATTGATAATTCAACAGAATTTATTTATCTTCAGTTCTGTATTCTATCTAAATGTTAAATGTTTAGATACTTAAATAAAATCATTGTTCTTTCCATATTACCTATATTATAAACGTATTATTGAAAATTGCATTGATCGCAGTGTATCAATAAGTTGATTCCGCGTGTTGCAGGTGATAGATTTCGGTTCCAGTTGCTACGAGAATCAACGGGTATACACTTACATTCAGAGCCGCTTCTACCGCGCACCGGAAGTGATATTGGGCGCGAGATATGGGATGCCGATCGACATGTGGAGCCTCGGCTGCATTCTGGCAGAGTTGTTCACCGGTTTTCCGCTGCTACCGGGCGAAGACGAGGCGGACCAGCTGGCGTGCATCATCGAGATGCTAGGCATGCCGCCGCAACGATTGCTGCAAAACTCGAAACGGTCGCGTCAGTTCATCAGCTCGAAGGGCTACCCGAAGTACTGCACCGCGACGGCAATGCCGGACGGTACGACAGTGCTAAGCGGGGGTCTCTCGAGACGAGGGAAGCTGCGCGGCCCGCCGGGCTCGCACGATCTCGAGCGCGCCCTGAAGGGTTGCGACGATGTGCTGTTCCTGGACTTTCTCAGACGTTGCCTCGTGTGGGAGCCGGAATGCCGAATGACACCGAACAAAGCGTTAAGGCATCCGTGGCTACGCCGTCGATTACCGAGGCCACCGGGCGACAAGAACGACACGCTACCGGCGGTGACATCGGCGCAACCCGCGACCACCGGCGGTGGCGGCGGCGGCGGCGGCGGCGGCGGTCCGACTCTGAGAACATCCGCATCCGGTAGCAGGAGTTCCAGCAAGACTAACAGTCTGCAGAGTAGCAATAACACCAGCGACGACATCTCGACGAGCAAAACAACGGGCCAGACGAGAGGGAACCGTTTAGTGGAGGACATGGTGTCGGCTTATGCGGGTTACTCGTACAACACGTCCCAATTACACGGCGGTACTTGGGGCACAACGGGGGGATTGAGCAGCGGCCACCAATCACTGAACTCCATTAGCGGGACTGGTGGCGGCGGTGGCGGTGGCGGTGGCGGTGGCGGCGGCGGCGGTGGCGGCAGGAGCTCCTCTAGCAAGACCAACAGTTTGCAGGGCGGCAATAACACCAGTGACGACATCTCTGCGAACAAGACGACAGGTCAGCAAAGGGGAGGTAACCGTTTGGTCGAAGACGTGGTGTCCGCTTACGCGGGTTACTCGTCAGCGTACGGCGCGTCCCAGCTGCACGGCAGTACCTGGGGCACGACCGGGGGACTGAGCAGCGGTCACCAGTCGCTGAATTCCGTCAGTAGCAGGAGTTCCAGTAAGACGAACAATCAGTTGCAGAGCGGTAACAATGCGTCGAGCGGCGATCTTTCCGCGAGCAAGACCGAACGTCAGCAGCAGAGAGAGCGCACAAGCGAGTTGCCGGTGACGATTTTCGATCCCTACCCACTCGGGTCTTACGGTTGTCTGTCCGAGTCCCAGTTGCACAGTAGTCATCGATCGAATCAGAGTAGCAGCCATCAGTCGCTGAATTCTGTCGACGGTGCGACGACCGGCAAGTCGCAGCGCGCTCGCCAGACGCAGCACCAGACGCAGCAGCAACAGCAACATAATAACAATGGCGCGTCGCACGACAGTTACGGCTCTCACGGCTCCTCGAGCAGCTCCAGCCGGTTGGTACTCTCGTTTCAGCCGGGGATCCAGGAGATCCTCGAGGAGTTGAGACGATAGGTCAAGACGTAGGACGCCAGTCGCGTCCTCCTTTTCTCCTCCCTTCGGCTCGCTCGCTCGCTCGCTCGTTGCCGTTCCTAGGCATTGCTACTGACCAGCGTTTCGTCGACCACGAAACGGTCGCATAACGTAAAGATAAGGACGATCCGATCCCGGTCACCTAATAAACGTGAAACTCGGCTGTGTCTCGCTGCCTGTCGTTCGAGCGACGTTCTGAGCTGCGCCGCCTCGACTTGACGTCGAAGAAGGTTACTTGCGGTCGGAAGGTTGGGTGGCTGTCTTATCATCGATCTCGGATACCGCTGTGATTCACGCGTCGCTTTTCTACGGTTGCCATGGCTGATTGTAGATGAGGCTTGAATCGGTTATAAAAAGGTTGATGAAAAGAAGCGAGTTATATTTTCTACGAAATACGCCGTTTTGTAGGTTGGAGGTAGAGCGTTCGTCTCTTAAAATTAAAAAGCGAACATGTAACGTTATCGATGGAATTGAAGAGAAGTTGTTCGAGAGTAATCGAGTCTAAAAAAAAAAAAAAAAAAAACAGCGAAGGAAGGCTTATTTTCGCGGATTCGTCACCAATGTTATAACTGATTTCATGCCTCACGCCTAGCCTAGGTCGCTACAAGATCGATCGCGCGATAAACCTCGAAATATCATACCTTCAGCCACGGCGACATCGCCTCGCGTTGCTCTCTGGTCTCCGCTCGTTTCGGGATTCATTCCTGTTGCCATTGCCTCCGCCGTGGAAATATGCGGTCGGCTTTTCAATAAGAGGCGAATTTTTCTGCTATGACAATACCTTAAGAACTCTAGCGAAGCGTCAGAAATCCGCGTAAATAGGTATAGAACGATACAGCACGCGCGATTGTGCGTCTTAAAACACTCGCCGTCGAGTCCTTTGCGGAACGTACAATCATGGGAGGACTCAAAGGACCCTTTTCTTCTTCTCGGAACGTGCCGGAAATCGTGAGGACGATCTCGACACTCGACACAACGCGACTATATGAGCCACTCATTCACCGCTCGGTTGGGTTTCGCCCTTTGTAAAATTGGACTTAACATTTTATTCAAGACGAACGATGAAACATGAAATCCAATTTTTCAGATCTGTGTAACAAATCGGCTGGGATTGACGAGGATAAGTATAGGAATGCATGTAAATACTGTCAGCTTTGTCGCGATGCATAATACGAATCATTTATCCTTCCTCGTTGGCGCGACATATTTTCTCCAACACAATTCGATTTCACCGGAGATGAGACGACGGGCCGTGTCGGATTAATCGCAAACAGAAGTCAGCTGGTCTCAAAGGAATCGTCGATTGATTTACATTCACATAAGTCTCGGTTCATGAATCATGATTAATGCACGTCGATCGTCTCTTACGAGCCGTCGACGATGCGCGGGAGTAGTTCGAGCGACCTGGAGGTCATTGTGCCAAGGGAAGCCCGGGGAAACCGCGACGGTCGATAGGTTCGATAGGTCGTAGATGATGTAGCACGTCAGATATATCGTCGTGTCGCGATGTCGCCGATGATGGCGGCGCAGGTATAACGATTCGCTCGTAATAGGCGTGATGAAGAAGTATACGACTGAATAGGACAATTTGCCGCTGACTTTGAAGACACTGTGTCGTCCTCCCTGCGATTGAGGGAAAATACTGAAAATGCATTTTTCCGTCATGAATACGTCCGATTTGTTGCACACACTTGGCAAAAAACGCGACAGCAATTCGAGCTTGGAAATTCGTAGATCGAACCAATTGAATCGCTCACGAAGAAGAACATTGTAAAAATATGACGATGCGATCTTGTACAGTTTGTAGCTTTTACGAATTTTTTTTTTTTTGTTGTAATTTCATAAATTTTGTAAATTCTTTTGTACTGTATGCGTTTAGATATGCGTTTATATAACGTTTGTTTTAATCGAGTGGAACGGGACACGTTAAGCAATTATTATTTTAACATTGTTTTTAGTTTCTTGAAATTAGCCGAAAGTATTTTCTTTTTTATGCTTTTGACGCTGACTTTTAATCGTTGTTATCAATTAGGCACTTTATTATTCTTTTTTTTTCCGTATTATTGTAATTATGCGGCTCTTACAGGGAATAGAGGAAGCTGCTGCCTTCCCTGCATCAAATTGCTCATTACACGAATCCATTAGTGATGAATTATGAAACGCTCATTACGGTTTCAACCGAACTGAAAGTTCAGTCTATTCTGAAACGAGTTTTGATTATAAAAGCTAAGCGCGGTGAACCGGGGAAACGCCGGGAAAATATCGTACCTGGCGGTTGCGTTGTAAATACTTCGCTTATTTTACGACGCTCTGGCGTTTAATTCGATGCAATGAACGGCGCAATTTACGACGGAAAGAATCGCGCCCGGTTTGTTAACTTCTCTTGGCTTCTTCTCAGCTAACTGGGTTAATTTCCCCCTCGCGCATTCTTGTGTCGTTGCTTATTATTCGTGCTGCGTATATTTTATCGCGGATGAAAATGCCCCGTGTTCAATAGCGGCTTTCTCCATCCACGCGGTTCTCACTCGGGAGAGACGAGACGAGACAGTCGCGTTTTTTCACGCACTATCCGCCTTTCGAGTCTTTTTCCCCGCAAAGCACGTTCGGTCGGGTCTTCTTGTACGTCTCCGTAGTGAGAAGTCGGCCGTTTAAAGGACACACGACAAAGAACCGTGTCCGAAAATAAAAGAGATTTTCCGTACTCATGCGGGGTGAACGACTCGAACGTCCTGCGACCGCTTTAGTTCCGCATTATTATCGACACTTCGTAGATCCTACCATGAATGGACGGCTTTTATATGTGGAAAATTCAGAAATAGACTTTTACAACTTCGGACAAAGGAACACGATAGTGTTTACGTGAAAAGAATGATTTTACTGAAGTATCTAAATATTTAACTAGATACAGGTCTAAAAGTCATTTTGCTGGACCATCCAAATAATTACGCAGGAATCTCAAATATGATGAGCAATGCTACAAAAAGTTTTGACATTCTAGTAACCAGTTTTTATTTGAATATTCTACATGATTATTTTGATGATCCAACAAAATTATTTTCCCATATCTGGCTCAATTTTTAGATTAAAATCGTTCTTTTCGTACGTAACGTAGATAATTTCTATATAAAAGCCGCTCAAATACATTCGTATCATCATCGATTCACGAATTACATATATTAATAGTTTTAACCGTTAAAAATTAGGAACTGTACATTATAAATCGTATAAGTTGAGAATGTTTTAATTAATTATTAATTTTACGTTTGAGGAGAAAATGATTGTAATGTGTTATTCTGTAACGATTGTCCCGCGAACATTTTAGAAGCGTGTCAGAAACGAAAACGTGTTCTTTCCTACGTAATTCTTTTCGGCAATCGGGAAGAAATTTTGCGAATGTTTATTTATTTGTACGAGAGAAAGTATGTACGAAAAAAAGACGAAAGAGAAAAAACTCAATCCAAGCTGATCTATAGGTAATCGATTTCCTAAAGTGTAATTTTATTCAAGTGCAAATATACTATTGGCCGCAATATAGAAATCATTAATCATTAACATGCATCATTTCCTCGCTAACCATCCGTCGCTGAACTCACTGATGCGCTTTAAGTAGCCCTTTACCGTCACTGATTTTCCCCGAGTTATTTCAAGCTTTGCTTTGTGGCCGACTATAATCGTTGGGCGATCTGTTCATCAAGAACACGACGGAATGTAGTCCGCGAACAATGCAACCGGGCGTCTCGCAGATGACTCTGGCGATGCGAAATCGCTAAATTTAGTTTGAACCGAACAAAACCATGTGCGCGGGGCGGACAGTCGTAAGAGCCGAGCGTGGATGAGTGACGAGACAACGACGAAGGAGAGAAACGTGATGAGAAAACGAAAACGAAAGAGAAGAGAGTGAAAAGAGAGTGTGTTGATGCAGCCGGCAAATGATAGCAGCGAACAGCAGGCGAAGTCAATTAAGCTCGAGGGGGATCGGAGCGATCGGCGGATTAAAAATCGTGATACCGAACGGCATGTCTTTGTGATATGGAACTTAGGCGTACTGGGATTTATACTAACGAATGTAGATAAAAAATTATATATTATATATATGTGTGGAAAAATCACGTATATTATGTTACATCGAGGTGATGATGAATGAATAGTTTGTAAAGCGCGCGATGTAGTTTAATCTCGTCGTCGAGACAAAGTGCTCGCGTATCGACCTCTTCTTTTCCTTTGTATAAGGAATATAAGGTGTACAAGGAGCAAGTATCGATGCCCTGTTCTTCGAAGATTTTCGTCGCTCTTTGAAAAAGTATTCTTGTGAATAATACACAATCGTAATTAA